TTTAATTAAAATAAATTTGATAAAAAAAATTAAATGTAATTTTTTTTGTTATATTTGTTTAATTTTATATATCTAAATACTTTTTGGTTAAAAAAATATTTAGAGACTTAATCGTTCAAAATATAATGTTCATTGGGGTTTTTTCGGATTTTTCCCCACTATTTTACCACTTTAACTAGTTGTATAAGTCATAAGAATGTATCCAACATGTTTTAGAAAAGTTCAAGGAGTTATTTAACATGTTTTGAATTGTCCAAAGACTTATTTGTTCCAAAAATTGTCCAATGAGTTATTTAACATGTTTTAAATTGTCCAATGACTTATTTGTTTCAAAAAATTGTCCAATGAGTTATTTAACATGTTTTGGAATGTCCAATGACTTATTTGTTCCAAAAAATTATCCAAGGACTTAATCATTCCAAACACTAAAGTCCATTGGATTTTTTTAAACTTTTCCCTTATAAAAACTATGTAATTAAAATATATTTTGGTTGATTTGTTGTCATTTTACAATCATTATATGATATAAAATAACATTGAACAATATTTAAGGATAATATGGTCATTTTAACAGCTTTGTCATATCTTGTCTTAGTCGTCCCAAACATGGGACAGACAATTAGTATTGTCCCATCTCGTCTTGTCTAGTCCAGTTTGCGTACCAAATATTACCTTATATATTTGTTTTTAAATTTAGACTATAATCATGTTATGTACCCTATGTGTCATAATGACTCATGAGTCTTCTAGAACATAATCACGTTTAATACTGTCTTTTTAGTTGCCCTGTCTAGAAAATGTTTGTACACCATACCATGAGTCTTTTGCCATTTTTGATACCCCTTATTTGTCACGAGTCCTTTTGGTTGTCGGTGTCCCGGGTTTTGGTCTTGGGTGATCTTTATGACTGTTGTTACTCATCTTTATGCCTGATTCAGTTCGATTTAGCCTTGATTCGTATTAGTTTGTGTCGGTTCAGTTTTACAGCTTGCATAAGCTTTTTTTTCGTTTTTCTATATTTTTCTAGGTTTTAGGAGTATCTTTAACACATTCTCTAAAATAAAGAAAAATAAAGAAAAATAAAGGTTCTTTTATCTATATTGTTCCAACAGATTTTCTATAATGTTATTTAAAATAGGGACATAATTTAGAAAATTCTCTAAAACTTGACGTTGAAAGAGAAAAATGATTATTTTATTCTATCCCAATAATGAAACAGAATTATTATTATTATTTTGTATAGTTTTAAAAAAAAAATGTATTAAGATGATAAATTAAAAAAATTAATAATAATATTATTTATATTAAAATCTCTAAAAATAAATAATCTATTGAAATTAAATGTTAATATATATATATTTTTTTTGAGATTTTAACTTTTTTTTTTTAATTATAAAAAACATGCTTTTTGATAAGTTTTTTGCCTTTTTAAAAAATTAAATAAATTAATGGACGTACCAAAGTACCGTATATTCAAAGTAGTGGACCTTCTGGTAGGTTGCAAAAGGACTTACGTTTGAAATACGACGAGGATTTCAGAGACCATGAAAACCACAACAATGGCAGCTCCAACGATTTCAGCTGCAGCAGCGACTTCACACACCAGGAAACCTAACTCCGATTCTTCCTCTCGTTTCCCTTCAGGTGAGTTCTGCTTGATTCTCTCTATCACTCATTAATCTTCCTATCAATTTCTTGTTTTCAACCATGAATTCCATCTTTCGCGTTTGATTTCATGGATTTGTTTGTGATTTTACTGAAGCAAAACTGTTTTTGCCTATGAATGACTGTTTTTGACTTCGTTTTCCTGCAGCGAATGATTATAATCCTGTAGCGATTTATTAATATCTGATTATGTGTTCTTCATCGTAAACATATGTAGTAGGTAGGAATTTGTAATTTGGAAGTACGAGCTTAATGCTTTTGATATCTAAACTATAACATTGATTATGATCGTAGAAAATTCTGATTATAGAAGATGAGTCAATCTAACATTAATTTAGATTTGATTTCTGACCTTTTTGGTCAAAGGAACTAGAACTACTAATTTTTTAGGTGCAAGTTGATTTAGGTTTTTCGTAAATTAGTTCTTAAAATATTTCAGGTATGTTGAAGAAATTGCTACTCGTCTTCTTCACTGGTTTTCTGGCATGGGCTTATCAATCAGCCCTTGCACCCCCACCCAAAACAGTCGGATCTCCAGATGGACTTCCAGTTACATCACCAAGAATCAAGCTGCGCGATGGAAGACATTTGTCTTATAAAGAATACGGTGTACCAAAAGAGTTGGCCAAATACAAAATAGTTTTTGTCCATGGCTTCGATTCTGTGAAGTATTACGCAGTTATTGCCACAACAGCCTCTCCGGTATGCTTTCATGCTTCATTTGTAGGCCATTTAACGGTGCCTTTTGTGCAGGACAGGACATGACATAACAAAAATTTGTTCTCTTTGGTAGCGAGATTAGGTTGGGACAAGGATGAGAGAGACAAATGTATTCTTTTTGTAGATTACTAAACTGCTAACGTCAAACTAAAACCTTACACGATTCCTTCAACTGTCTGGTGCTGTTTGCATACCAAATGCACCCTTGTTAGTTTCAGGATTAGTTTCCTGAGTACTTTGGTTGACATTCACAGGCTCTTATTGAAGATTTGGGTATATATATTGTTTCATTTGACCGCCCCGGGTATGGCGAGAGTGATCCAGATCCCAACCGAACTTTGAAGAGTTTGGCTTTGGACATAGAGGAGCTTGCTGATCAGCTGGGACTTGGATCCAAGTTCTATGTGGTTGGTTTCTCTATGGGTGGGCAAGCGACTTGGAGTTGTCTGAAATACATTCCTCACAGGTACGCATGTTGGTTCTGTAAGATATGTGGGATACATCAGATTTCTCTCCAAAAGAACCATTGAAAAGAGAAGGGGGTTTCAATAATATATATTGAAGTAGAAAGTTCCAAGTCGAAATGGGACCAACATATCTGATTATGGTTGTATATATGTGATGAAAATAGGCTCGCAGGAGCGACTCTTATTGCTCCGGTCGTTAATTATTGGTGGCCTTGCTTGCCAGCAAACTTATCTAATGAAGCATTTTCGAAGCAGTTCGTTCAGGATCAATGGACCCTTCGTGTTGCTCACTATCTTCCATGGCTGACCTACTGGTGGAACACTCAGAAACTGTTTCCTTCGCTCACCATTATTGCTCACAGCCCTCTTGTTCTTTCTCGTCAAGACAGAGAACTTATCCCCAAGTTTACCGCTGGCAGAGAAGCCGTCCAGGTACTTCCCTTGCCATCTTGCAGTCCTACTCAAAAGCAGGGTTCGGGGTTCACCCTAAAGGGTGGAACAACCGTTTCTGTATTATCTTAATACATGATACTTTAATTATCTAATGTTTACTCTTTCGTGTGTCAAAAAGGGCCAAGTACGACAGCAAGGAGAATACGAATCTCTCCACCGTGACTTGAACATCGGATTTGGTACCTGGGAATTTGATCCGGTGGAAATCGAGAACCCGTTTCCAAACAATGAAGGATCCATTCATGTGTGGAACGGTGACGAAGATTTGCTGGTGCCGGTAACACTGCAACGCTATGTCGTCCAACAACTCCCATGGATACGCTATCACGAGCTCAAGGGTGCCGGCCACATGTTCCCTTATGCCGATGGGATCAGTGACGCTATCTTGAAAACACTTTTACTTGGTACAAAGTAGCTTAAACGCGCGTTTTGGGCTCAATTTCTAGCTATGTAAGTCTATTGAATGTTTCGTCGCCTCTTTACTTGGGTCCACGGCATTACATGATGACCCGAAAAAGAGTTAATCGATATATAATATTCTTCGGTTTTGCTCGTTATCAAATCTAATCCGAACCTATTATCCATACTTGATTTTTATAAATGGAAATGGTATAATTCTACATGATTTTGAAACAGTTGACCTTATTCGTAAAAAGATAACATGATACAACTGTTGTATTCGATATTAAGCATATTGTAAGGAGTTCATGTTTCTAGCTTATTACAAGCGGGATTGGAAGCGAGGTTTCTTAACCAAACCGAATCGGATTGAACCGCTTCATCATCGTCGTTTCTATGCCACGACCACAGAGCATGACTTGCATTGACTACCTCAAATTCCCCGTGCCCGAAACTGGCTTCCCTAAATATCGATATCTTTGGTTGTGGTTCTTTATACCTGCAAAACCACGATTTTCTTAAGTTGTCAATGATTGAACTTGTATATCGGAAAATAGACAGTCTGTTTATTCGAGTCAACTCACTTGGCGCCAGGGTGTCCACGGTTGCCTCCATCCCCGATTGTGATATGCATTGGGCCACAACTATCCGGTTCCTCATTGTACACACGACTCTACCAAAATAAGAACAAAAGTTAGGGGTCGTTTGATTGTTTTTCCATTAAACTCTGTATGGATTAAGCTAAATTGCTGTTTGTTATGCTGAATATTGTGATTGGTTTATTGAACTTGAAACCTATCATTTAGATATCGAGTCACGAAAAAGTAGCTTACAAAGCGCTCGTAAGCATGAACGTGGCCTGCGAAAACGACGTCTACACGAGCCTTGTAAAGCAATCCCTCCATAGATTCCATCATACCGTACGACTGAATCTCCCCTTGATGATCATAGTTAGTGTTATACCACGGAGCATGAATAAGCACGACGAGCCATGGCGTTTTGCTTCTATCGACCTTCTTCAAATCCGACTCTAGCCACCCATATTGGTTTGAGCCATGGCCAAAATCGGTGTAGGAACCCAACATGATGACGTGAACCCCTGAAACCTCAAACGAGTAGTACAAGTTAGACGAGGAACCGCTCTCCTCAAACGGCATACGCCACCTTGCATTGTAGGACGTGAACATGGTGTCGTGGATGCCCGGGGTTATCTCCATCTCGTGATTGCCTTGTGTCACCATCCACGGGCGCTGGCTAGCCAACGGTTCCATCAGGCGGCCAAACGAGTCCCAGAGGGGTTGCACCATTTCGGCATACGCTAAATCTCCGGGTAGTAGAAACACATCATAGTTTGATTGCGAGATGTGTTCAAGAGTCGATTTGGTCCATCCACTTTGCCCCATATCACCTGTTTTTAAATCCAAATAACAGTGAAGTAGAGGTATTAAACATTAATCAATGAAAATAATGATAAAAAATAATCTGTTTGATTATATATAATATATTGGGTCCATAAACCCAAATTTTCATTTTAGTGGAATGAAAGTTGACTTATTTTTATTATTTGTCATTTTCATTCTCCGACCTGAACCTAACAGTTCATTTGTTTGCTGAAAAACTAGTCATTTCAGGTAAAATGACCTGATAAGCTAGATGACAATATAAAATAATATACAATTATGTTTAAATTGGTTTTTCCAAAAAACTAGCTTATAACTAACCGAACAAGATTTTTTCAATAAGTTTAGAAAATAAGTTAATTTATGATTGTCAACACCGTCTTAGGTGGTGTTTGGAATTGTTTATTTGAAATAACTTATATTTTTTTACAAAAATCTTTATCAACTTATTATAAGTTAGAATGGTTTAACTTTTTCAAAAAACTTCTTATTACCGGTTTGACACTGGTATAAGCTGTTTATCCAAACACTAAAAAATGCTTATTACCGGTGTCACACCGGAATAAGCCAATAAGTTATTTTTATAACCAATCCCAAACACCCTTTAATATGTCATTTTAGTTTCGGAAATGATTAAACAACAAAAATAAATGTAAAATGTTATAATTTTGTTACCTGAAATCGAAAATTTGATCGGAAACTTAGCGGGAGGAGTCATGAGAGAGAATTCAGCAGTCGAACTGATGCCAAACTGGTAATAATACACGGTATTCGGGTCCAACGGACCGATTACTACATCATGTATTTCACCGGATGTGTAATTTATATATTGGTAAGAAGAAATGGTGCCGTTAGCCGAATGTTGGTATTTCCCAGGAGACGCGCCGTAGTTTACCGTGGCCGGAGTGTGGTCGTCGGTAATCCAAGATATTCGCATTTTATCTTCTCCGACCAAAGATACATGTACCTGTTAAAGAACAATCCGTTACGACCTTCTCTAGTTAAGCAAATTCGGTCGTAAACAAGCCCTTAGTGGTTGCTTGTTTACCTCTTAATAGTTCCATTAAGAGGCGGTCCTGAATCGTTAAGAGGTGAATCTTGTTTGACAAAAAAAGAAGTCTAACTCTTAATGATTCTAAAACCCTCTGAATGATTTTATATCAAGTTCTCCCTTTAACCTTTCAGCACTCTAATTTCATTGTAAACAATTACCAGACAATTATATTTCATTTTACACTATATCATAAGAGACTCTTAATCATTCTGACCACTTAATCGTTCTATACCAAACCATTCAACAAGTGTCAAACAGTAAGTTCCTATTCTGTGCATCGGTAGGAAGAGCACTTCGGAAAGTAATGTTACCTGTTGTGGAGTGGTAGGAAGAGCATCTTCTGAAAGTGATACGATGAAAGTCTCCCGTGGCGGAGGCCGTACATATGAATGAACAATTTCCGGCGATCCGCCGCCGGCGGCCAACACCACTAGCAACCACAACTTCTGAAACTTCATATTCGAAGCAGTGAAAGAGAACTAGAGAAATCGCCTATTATTTATAATAAGAAAACAAATGAAATTATAAAATTACTAAAATGCCATTTTATTTGTTTACATTATTTTTTCCAGTGGCAGTGAGTTAGTTTGACCCTCAACGTATTAGTTTGACTATTTCAGTCTATATTTATTGTTATTAAAAAATAAAATAAAAAATATCTAAACTCCTTTATTACATAAAATTCATATCAAGATATTTTTTTATCTATATTATATTATAAAACATTTGATAAAAACTCTTAAAAATCATTTTTATGCAGAAAGTACTGTATATTGATACATAATACTTAAAATTCAATATTACAAGTAAATTATACATAAGTGCAACTTATTAAAGCTTCATGTTTGAGTTCGTGTAACTAACGGCGGATAAACATAATCAAATAGAGGATAAACATCTCATTTTAAAATATAAAAAATCTAGAATATAATTATGATAATCGTCAAGTTTTAACAAAATAATTAATTATTATCTTTATAGGAAAATTACATTATTAAACAAAATATAAATTACTTCGTTATTGATACTAATATCGATATATTTTTGTCAGATTTTTATAATATTTTCAAATTTATATTTTATTCAAAATAAAAACATCATCGTTTTTTCAAAACCACATAAGATCATATCATAATATCGACTGAGATAAAAAATAAATTGAAATATTAAAATCAATATGTATATCGTTGCATTGTGCGAATACCCTTCTAGTCATAAAAATGTATTCTTATCATAAATCTGTTTAAACAAATATAACAAATATTCTAGATTTAAAAGCTCTTCATTACTTAAAAACATACCTAATTCTTTTAGAACAATGACAGATATATAATTATTATCTGTTTTGGTTTCTTGAACAGGGACAAATGCATAATTAGTAAATCTTAAACGTAATAATGTTTTTCGTTCTTATGATTTGTTAAAAGTTTCTGATTTCGTCCAATAGTTTTCGTCTTTATAGTTTATAATTCATTTATAATTTCATCCGTAAAACTGATCACTAGTTCACTACATATGGGTTCTAAAAAACCCGACTAACTCAGCTAAGCCAAGCCAACTCAACCCAAAGTAACCTAGTGTCTAATCAAGTTGTAAAAATTTTAAACCGTAGTTATTGAGTTGTAGTTGGACTATGGGAGTTTTAACCCAACCAAATTTGATATCATTTTTATTTATCGTATTTAATATGATTGTTAAATCGCTACTAATATGTACACTACCATCATATACCCTCGTCACATATATATATATATATATATTTTCAGTTTTTTTCCCCATCTATTTATAACTCTTTCGTATATATGTTCAGTAAATGTGAACATATACATACAAATTGAGAAAAAAAAATAGTTGAATGTGATATACTTAAAATTTAAGGAGCATGGATAAGTTGTACCAAATGATTGATAATGAAAAAGAAATCATGGATAAAAATAAAAGAACATATTTAAAGTTAGAATAATATTTTGATGTACAAAAGTATCAGACCGACCAAGGCGTAGTGTTTGGATTGGATTGCACTTTGATTTGAATTAATCAGTTGGATTAAATTGAGATTTTTTAAACAATAAACATGAACTCAATTTAACCATCCATTTAAACAATCTCGAGTTTGGATGAGCAAGAAATTAGAACAACGGTTTTTGTTCACATTGTGGGAACATGTCGTTTAATAGTCAATACATACGATGTTGATTTTTGATGAGAAAACTTTTCAGATCTGATTTTTATATTTATAAAAATAATTGATTTAATTAAAATCATATTTAAAGTTAAATACCTAAATATATCTCCACCCTCTCTCGACACAGATGGATTGGACCTCGGATCCAATGTGTCAATTCGTCATCAGAACATCTACAACATATTCTTCAAAATATAGAATTAAAAGTGAAAATCTCCAAAAAATTGTATTTATCTTTAAGAGCTTATCTGTTTTAAATATAACGATATGTATTATCTATACTATATTATAAAACATTTTACAAAAACTCTTAAAAATCATTTTTATACATGAAGTAGTGTATATTGATACATATTACTAAAAATTCAAGATTACAAGTAAATTATGCATAAGTACAACTTATCAAAGCTCCATATTTGAATTCGTGCAACTAACTGCGGATAAACATAATCAAATAAAGGATAAACATCTCATTTTAAAATATAAAAAAATCTAAAATATAATTAGAATAATTATCGAGTTCTAACAGAATCATTATCTTTATAAAAAATTCATTGTTAAGCAAAAAGTAAATTACTTCACTATTTGACTTAAATTAAATTATAATAAAAAAATGAATCAAATAAATTATATAAAAATAAAAACTTATAAATAGTTAATTTGATATTAATATCGATATATTTTTTAAATTATTTATGCTATCTTCAAATTTATTTTTATTCAAATGTAAAAACATTATCTTTTTCAAAACTACATAAACCGTGTTATATCAACAAAGACAACAAATAAAACGAAACATTAAAATGAATATGTATCTCGTTGCATTACACGAGTACCTTCTAGTGTGTATATATATATATATGTATGTATGTATGTATGTATGTATGTATGTATGTATATGTGTATATATATGTGTATATGTACATATATATATACATGTGTGTGTATGCATGTATATGGGTTTTTGGTATGAAAAGTGTATGTGTATATATAAGTTGCAGGTATACGTATACACAAAATGCAACAAAAAGTTGGAAAAGAAGGTGTTCGAAGTTGCAGGGGAAGATGAGAAGATGAAGGTGATAGAAGAAGGGGTGGAGTCATGGAGGGAAAGAGTTAAGTAAGATATATAATAAGGACTTCACATTTATAGCTTATTACAACCTGGGTCTGAAGCGAGACTTCTTAACCAGATCGAATCAGACTGAACCGCTTCATCGTAGTCGTTTCTACGCCACGACCACATGGCATAACTTGCATTGACTACCTCGAATTCCCCATGCCCGAAACTGGCTTCCCTAAATACCGATATCGTTGGTTGTGGCTCTTTATACCTGTAAACAACACAATTTTGGTAAGACGTCGATGATTGAACTCTCGTATGTTTGAAAAACGACGGTTTTTTATCGTATTCAACTCACTTGCTAGCAAGACCTTCGCGATTGCCTCCATCCCCGATTGTGATATGCACCGGGCCGCAATTATCAATTTCTTGATTGTAAACGCGATTCTACCAAATAAAGACACATGTTAGTTCGTTTATTGTGTGATTGGTTTAGATTGAACTTGAAAACACAGATAAAAAATCAGTTGTCCCCAAACTTCACATCGTTTCTCTGTCCCAGCAACCAAAATAAAACACATCATTAGAGAGAAAATACAAAAATCAATGATGTGTCTTATTTTGATTGGTGGACATAAAGGGGGAAAATGAATCGAGGACGACTGGTTTTTATTCCATTTAGATATGGAGTTACGGAAAAATAACTTACAAAACGCTCGTAAGCATGAACATGTCCTGCAAAAACGACATCTACACGAGCTTTATAAAGCAATCCCTCCATAGATTCCATCATGCCAACCGATTCTTGCTCCCCTTGATGAGCGTAGTTCGAGTTATACCACGGAGCATGAATAAGCACGACGAGCCAAGGTGTTTTGCTTCTATCGACCTTCTCCAAATCCGACTCTAACCACCCATATTGGTCCGAGCCAGGGCCAAAATCGGTGTAGGAACCCAACATGATGACGTGAACGCCTGAGACCTCAAACGAGTAGTATAAGTTAGACGAGGAGCCACTCTCCTCAAACGGCATATGCCACCTTGCATTGTAGGAAGTGAACGGGGTGTGGTGGATGACCGGGATTTTCTCGACTTCGTGGTTGCCTTGTGTCACCATCCACGGCCGTTGGCTAGCTAACGGCTCCACTAAACGGCCAAACGAGTCCCATAGGGGTTGTATCGTATCGGCGTACGACAAATCTCCAGGTAGTAGTAACACATCATAGTTTGATTTTGAGATGTGTTCAAGTGTCGATTTGGTCCATCCACTTTGCCCAAGATCACCTGTTTTTTTAAAATTCCCAAATATCATCAACAACTGTTGGAGTTGAATGTTATTTTGACTTTTTCATTATCTGTTATATAAAATTATAGCATAACTCTTGAAGATGCTAAAATAACTTATATAGCTTTGGGAATAATTAAAGACGGAAAATAAGATATTGCGATTTTGTAACCTGAAACGGCAAATTTGATCGGAAATTGGGCAGGAGGAGTCTTGAGAGAGAATTCAGGGCTCGAACCGGGGCCAAAATGGTAATAATATACGGTGTTCGGGTCCAATGGACCTATTACTACGTCATGTATTTCACCAGATGCGTAAGTTAGATACTCGTAAGAAGAAATGGTGCCGTTAGCCGAATACTGGTATTTCCCCGGGGATGTGCCGTAGTCTACCGTGGGTGGAGTATGATCGTCGGTAATCCACGAAATTCGCATTCTATCTTTACCGATCAAAGATACATGAACCTGTTAAACCACAACCTTCTCTCGTTATGCAAATTATGTTGTAACCGGTAAGCGAGTCGAGCTAGACATGCTCCGAAAATTTAGAAGTTGTTTATCAAACTCTTACCGAATAAGTGCTTACCCAACGTTACTTACCTTACCGGTGAGAATGTCAATAACCGATAATATTATCCGGTAAAAGACATAACAAGGATCATGAAATCTTATCGTGTAAGAGTTTGACAAACCACTTCTGAAATTAATTTTTAAAATTTAAGAAACTCTTTAAAATGATTATTGCAATAGAAAAGTATTATTTTATTATATTCCACCATTAAATAAAACCTTTGAAATTAAATATTTATGAGAAGAATTAATTATTTATTAAATATATATATATATATATAATATTTTAAAAATATAATTAATGTTATAATTTTTAAATAAATTCAAACTTTGGCCACCAAATGTATCGCTTGAATCATTGTTTTGAACGAATAGTGATGGATCGATCAATGTCATCAGAACTAAAAGCCAAAATAGTGAAACGGTTATTACATGTTTACGGTGTTTGCGATTGCTATAAAAACATCTTATTGACTTATTTTAATATGACACCGGTAATAGGTATTTTTGAGTGTTTGGATAAATAACTTATACCAGTGTCAAACCGATAACAGATAGTTTTTTAAGAAGTTAAACCCTTCTTACTTATAATAAGTTGACAAGTGCTTTTGTAGAAATGTATAAGATGTTTCAAATAAGCAAACCGAACACCCAAAAAAACATTTATCAATCAATAATCTGTTTAACAGCCAAAAAAATTGGGGATCAACGGAGGTATATTCAAATCATGTTGAGGTTTTTCAACAATCAAACGAGAGATGAATCTAAAAGGCATCATACCATCGCCATTAGAGATGAATGGATTAGGATTGAATATGAACATACGAAAAGAGGAGATGATGAAATTAGGGCTATGAGAAGCAGAAATTAGTTACCTGTTGTGGAGTTGTAGGATCAGCATCTACGGAGGGTGAAACGACGAGAGACTCCCGTGGCGGAGGCCGTTCATATGAATCAACAATTTCCGCCGCTCCGGCGAGGACGAAGGCCAACATCACCGGCAACCACCACTTCTCAAACCTCATATCCGAACCAGTAAGAGAGAGAGAGAGAGAGAGAGAGAGAGAGAGTTGAAGGTTTACGAGGAAGGGAGGTTTAAATTTTTGTTGCAGAAAGTATTAAAAACTGGAGCTACAAAACAAAAGAATGGTGTTAATCAGGTGGTATGCTCCAGTTTCATACATGCATATATATATATATATATATATATATATATATATATAATATTATAAAAGATTTGATAAAAACTCTAAAAAACTATTTTTTTAGGCATGAAGTATTGTTTATTGATGCATATTGTTTAAAATTCAAGGTTAAAAAACAAATTGTGCGTAAATACAACTTATTAAAACTTTATGTTTGAATTTGTGCAACTAACTGTAAATAATCATAGTCAAATACAAGATAAATATTTAATTTTAAATATAAAAAAATCTAAAATATAAGTAGGATAATCATTGAGGTCTAACTAAATATTTAATTATTATCATTATAAAAAATTATATATTATTAAATCAAAAATAAATTACTTCGTTATTAAATTTAAATTAAATTATAATAAAAAATTAAATTAAATAAAACACAAAAAACAATAACTTTTAAATAGTTAATTTGATATTAATACTAATATATTTATTTTTAAAATTTTATTACATCTTTAAATTTATATTTTATTTAAAAATATTATCCATTTCTTAAAACCACATAAAAACAGTATTAAAACATCTACAAATACAAAATACAACGAAACATTAAAATCGAGATATATCTCGCTATATTGCACGAGTACCCTTCCATATATAAATAATATATATGGGGTGGTGTACTTTGCAAATCAAACCATTTATACAAATCATAGAAACCATTCTTGTCCATCGATTTTATTGTTCAATTGTTTATATATGAAGAGGAAAACCAAAAAAGTGAAAAATCGAGAAATAGATTAATTGTTTAAGATGTAATTAAATTGACGGTTACTACTTTATTTTAAATCAAAAAATCTCTCGTGCCCTATTTTTTATATCGAAAATATACAAAATATGATTAAAATTCAAATGAAAACATATTATGCCAAAATAACAATCATATTTTTCTCGTAAATTTGACGTTCATATTCATAAATTTTTTCATATGTTTTTTTCGTGGTTTTCCGATTTTGAATCCGACTCTCTTTTAAGAACTCTATAAATTATGAGATCTTTGTGAACCAATGCATCAGTATACTAATTCATATGTTTTTTTTTTTTTCAATTTATAGCTAGCATTTAGTGTACGTGGTTAACATATATTTGTTTCACAACATGTTTGTTTCACATGTACTCGGTTTACAATGTGAACATTTTTGGCGTAAAACAAAAATATACACGTAGTTTAACATTGTGAACCGAATACATATGAAACAAACACATTGTAAAACAAATATATGTTAATTAATACATTAAATATTTACTTCAATAAACAAAAATAATGTGAAATAAAACCTAATGTAGAAGTTCTCACGGATTTCATAAATTACAGAGTTATCAAATGACTAACCCCATCAAATTAGACCTAAAATATTATGATAACCATGAAAACCGGTGCATCATGTGTTGTTTTACATAAAAAATGCATCCAATACTAAGATTGGAAGTATTGATCAACATGTATTTGTTTTCAAATGTGTCTGTAGCCTTATTTTACAATGTGAAATTTTTTACGAGTTTATGTTCACAAAAGTACAGATAAAAAGTTTTACATTGTGAAACAAAACATGTAAAACAAACATATTTTAAACAAATATATGTTAATCAATATTTTAAATTCTACAATTATATTGAGAAAAAACATGTGAAATAATAATTTAAAATTCAAGTTCTCACGGTTATCACAATATTAAGGTTATTATTTGATTATGACTCTCTTTCTCTCTCTCTTATATATATATATATATATATATATGTGTGTGTGTGTGTGTGTGTGTGTATGTATATATAGGGGGCCTAATCAAATGAAAATTAGATAATTTGTAGTAACCATGATATTTAATTTGAGTCAATCATTTAAGATAATTAATGTTATTTACTAAAATAAAATAAAGGGTAAATGGATATTTCGACAAGAAAAGTTTGTAACAAATTAAATCATTAATTATTCAATCTACAACTACCTATTTATTTGAATTTACCATAAATATCATATTTCGAASCCCATGCCTCTCATCCCTCTCCTCACCGGAGTTGCTCTCCTCCCATCCCCTCCCCCACGACCGCTCACCATATTCGACGAACTAGACCGACAATGCACCAACGATGCAATCTAACTAGAGTCAAACAAAATGACGGTGGATCACTGTGTGACAACCGGCCTCAATGTTGAGGATCAATCGTTTTGAACGGAATCCCTACCAGAGAGAAACAAAGAAGGTTGTCGTATATGGGGCGCTGCTATACATTTGTCTATACGTTGCTGACAGATTGTCATTTGAATGGGATCCCTACCAGAGAGAAACCAACGACGGTTTGGTTTCGAATCTTGAAGACAATGACAGAGATATAAATTTGATTTCCAAACCACCCTTCTCCCCTCTTTGGTCTTATATATAAGTTTTTTTTGTTTTTGTTTCTAGAGTTACATTTTTAAATATTTTTCTAGTTTAAAGTTCATAGGTATCACATGGTTACTACGGTGGGTATCACATGGTTACTACATTGGGTATCACAATGGTACCACTGTTGGTATCACAATGATATCATCATTTATATCACAATTATATTACATTGGGTATCACAGTGTATCTTGTATGTATTTTAGGTATCATAATGAATGTTGTTTGTATATATATTTTTAACAGTGTCTATGTTTTTAGGTGAGAGAGAGAGAGAGGGTATCGTCTATATATTGATTTTTTGTCTTTTAATCACTCATTAACGAAAATTTTAACGACCATTAGAAAAATCTTAATAATCATCTTTTAATTTTAAAATTAAATAAACAAAAAATGTTATTTCTGACAAACCACGGGACTGAATTTAGAGTTGACTCTAGATATAAATATGCATCTTGGAAGGAGGGAAGGATATGGAGGGAATATGCTTTTCCGGTCCCTGTTACGGATAAATATGAAATTGGGGTTTGTTTTCACACACCATGGGAACATGGTGATTTTATAGTCCAACGTTGTTGTTTTGTCGCCGTAACCATTACAATTCCGATGTTGTCACTTTATACCATATGCATCTTTAATGGTTAAATTATGACAATTGCATAATAATTTGGTGTAAAATGATCAAGTGATCAGATTGATTAAAAGACTTTTATGATATAATGTAAACTGAAATATGGTTGTTTGGTAATTGTTCAGAATAAAATTAGAATGCTGAATGACGGGAAGGTTCAAGATACAAAATCATTCAAAGAGTTTTAAAACTATTAAAAAACAATTTTTTTGTCAAATAAGATTAAAACTAAAAAAAAAAAAAAAATTCGATTTCACCCAATCTTCATGGCTTGAACTAAGATTGCGAGTATTTCTTTTTTTTACTTTCTTACTACGTGTCAGATTATGGTTGGTAAA